TCACAATACATGCACACACACACACACACACACACACACACGTGTGTGTGTCTGGGGGAGGAGGGTCATTTAAAAATGTTTCTTTAAGTAAAGGCCCAGTCCCTCATCCCAACTCTGAACAACTCAAAAGGGTCATCCAGGCCTCAGCACTCCCTGCAGAGTCACCTGGGTGTCCATGGAGATGGGAAAACAGCCAGCTCCTCCCTCCGCCCAGCTCCCTCGTCCTGGGTTGACTGAAGGACACTGTAATAACCTCCTCACTCTGTTCTGCATCTCAGAGTCTGATTCTCTGGGAATCCAACCTGAGACAGAGTCCTTCAGGAGGTGGCATATTCCAGGATTCTGGGCCCTAAGGACCCAGGGTTACATGAGGAACAAAGGCTTCCCTTGTGCTTGCAGGCTGGACCAGACCCATCTGAGCGACGAGGTGAGGGAGTCGCTGAGGACACTGGAGGAGGAGAAGCCTCAGCTACGCATCCCCAGCAGACGGTAAGGGAGTACCCAGAGCTCCCTGACTGAGCCCCTGAGGCTAATCTACAGCCAGGAGATGGGAAAAGATCATTGAAGGCAAGGAGAGACAAACAGAGCCAGGAAGAAGCCAAGAAATCCCAGCAGCAGGAGGGAGGTTGGTTGGCTTGTTCGGTGCAAATAGAATCACTTCACTTCCCTGCTAAACCCTCTATTAGATGACTAAGAAGGTGACAAATGAGAACATGAGTGTCTCTGGGAGTGTGCTACCCTGTGGGCACAGTACAGGTTCCTTCACTGCACAAGGTTCAGAGCAATGAGAGCAGTGACCACAAGAGGGAGACAAAGACAAAAGCACAGAAAGGGCCTTGGAAAAGAAACCATCCTGCTGTCACCAACACCCACACACATACACACATGTACACACACTCCTGCTTTGAGGGGTGAGCCCCAGGGGCAGGAGTGTCCATCTTCCACCCATGGAATCCACTGCCACCCCACATTTTCCTAGATGGTGCATTCTGGTCTGTGACTGAAGCACATCTGTCTCCCAGTCCAGGCTCACCTAAAATAAAATGGGCTCAGAGGCTAAGGAGGAGTCATGCATGCAATGAACAAGCATTCCCTGCAGACCCACTGTGTGCCAGGCACTATTTTGGGATCTGAGGACACAGCAGTGAACATGACAGGCAAGGCTCAACCTCTAGGAGCTTAGTCCGGCACGGGTATCCCCCTAGCCTGCATCACTTCACCTGGATTGGCATGCAAGCACTGATGGGCCCATCTGACCCTCTCTGAAGGAGCCAAGTTGAGCTCTGAAAGACAGGAGAGGTGAGCTGGGCTGAGAAGGTGAATTCCAGGCAGAGGTAGAGGCTCTGAGGGATGAAGGGACTTAACTCCTGTAAGGAATAGAAAGCCAGGCTTCTGGAGCAGTGCTACTCAAAGCATCACCCTCACCTGGGAGCTCCATAGAAATGAAATTCTTGGGCCCCACTCCAGACCTGATGAATCAGAAGCTGTGGGGCAGGTCCAGGAATCTGTGTGTACAAGCACTCAGGTGACTTTGGCACCCACTGGGTTTGAGACCCACTGGTCTAGAGGTCAGTGAGCAAACAGAAAGTGTCACAGGTAGGGGGACAGGAGAGAGGACAGGGCCTAACAGCAAAGGCTTTTGGACCATGTTAAGAACTTTCCGTTTCCCCCCCAGAAACAATGGCGACATAATAGGGCTTCAGCAGCAAAGTGACACATTGGATTCATGTTTAAAGATCAGTTCCTACTAGAAAATGGACATTAGGCCCAGCCTCAGTGCAGTCCATAGCACACTGAACTGCAGTGCTGGAGGTCACATGGCCAACTGCAGGTTCACATCCCCACCCAGTCAACCTGAAACATGCCAGGCGTACACACGTGTGCCCAAGATCCTGATGACCTGGAAGGCTGACAGAAGAGGATTGATGCCTCACTTGCCTCTCTCTCTCCTCCTCCTCCTTTCCCTCCGCATGAATGCATACATATTCTTTATTTAAATAAATAACAGAGGAAGGGAGGGAGGGAGGAAGAAAAAAAGAGAGAGAGAAAAGAAAGAAAATGGGCTGGAGAGGGGCCAGAGAAGGAACAGGGAAGCCTTCCAGAGGATGCTGCAGTGGTTGAGGCCCCAAATGCCAAAACCTGGGCCATGCTGAGAGAAGAGAAGAGAAAGGAGAGTTCTTCGGGAGGTATTGCTCACACAGTCAGTTCTCATGGCAGGCGAGGAGAGTCAGGATGAGCCCCAGTTTTCCCTTGGGTGTCTGGGCGGATGGGGAAGTCCATGGAGGTGGGGACTACAGGAGAATCGTGGGACTGAGCTCTAATGTGGACACAGTGAATTTTAAGTGGGGAAGTCAGGCACATGGCCCTAGCTTCCTCGGATATCTTAGGAAGAGAAAACAACTCTGTCTAGGCAGCCAAGTGTGATGATCCCTACTGAGGGCCCGGATGAAGGAGAGAGCAGTCATAGCACGACCTCGCTGAAGCGGCCGAGAACAGACTCAGGTACTTTGAAGGGGGCAGACTGGAAACACCATGGTGGGATGTGGGAGGGGTCATCCCCACCATCCCCTGCCTCTGACATGGGACAGGGCATGTTCCCCACTAGGAGGGCCCTGCCCCATGTGAGATCTTCCAGCCCTAGAACCTGGTGGGATTTCTGCTTCCCATTCTGCCACCTGCAGGGACTGCTGCTGTCCCTCTACAGAATCTCTATGGCATTTACCACACCCTGAACCAAGGACCAGTTTGCATTTTAGGTTGCTGAGGTCTCCATCTTGCTCATCCATCTTTCAAACCATTTTCTTCTCTCATGTTGCCCACCTAGGGCACGCTAGCAAGAGAAATGCTTCTGGATTTCAGTTTGGAAGGGCAAGTGGGCAGGGTTAGGAGGCAGTGGGCATGGGGGCCTCCTCACATAGCAGGCAGCCCCAGGAGCAGGGGCAGAGGCCGCAGATGCACTCCCCATCACTGTCCAGGCAGGCCAAGCCTTGAGAAAGGCCTTCCATGGTCCAGTTGTGGGACTGGAGAGACCAGGAAGAAGAATCTAGAACTGACACCACCCTGCCTGTTCCAGAGGGAAGTTCCCCACAAGCAGCACAGGAACCCTTCCGTCTGTCTTCACCTGCCTCTCCAAGGGACCTGCACATGGAGCCTCTCGGGACCGAAGAAGACTTCTGGGGCCCCACAGGGCCTGTGACTACTGAGGTAGTTGACAAAGAGCAGAGCCTGCACCGGTGAGTGAGGGGGCTCTGCTGTCCCAGACCTGCCTCCCCACCCCACCCCCAACACTGGAGCCCACAGTCAGTACCCCAACCACCTCCCATTGGGTTCCCTCCCTTTGCCAAGCCTCCAGGCAGGAACAGGGCTGAGGTACTGGGTGTGCACTTTTTATTACTGAAAAAGTCATTTTATTATGAAATTTTCCAAAACTAGAGACACAAGGAGCTTCCATGTCCCTCTTACCTAGCTTCAACAATTGTTTTGCCAAATTGCTTTTAATTATTCTCTTTCTCCCATTTTTGTTGTTAAATCCAAGGCATCAGATGATTTTTACCCTTAAATATTTCATTATCTATATAAACCAATAAAAGATAAAGACCTTTCTTCCATCACCCCAATGTCATTATCACGTCTAACAGAGCTGACAATGTCTTTCATATTATCTAATACCCAATCTGTATTCAATTTGCTCAGTTGTCTAAAATGTGTTCTTGTAGGTGGCTTCTCCTAATCCAAAGTCTAACAAGGTCCACTCAGGCCAGCCATAGCGTGATGCTTAAGGCAGCCAGAAAGCACCTGGCCAACCATATGGTTTCAATCTCATACCTGATGGCTTGAAAAACATGCCTGGTTGGGACCAGCAGTTAGTGCAATGGCTATATTGTTGGACTCCCATGAGGCCAACAATGGTTCGAGCCCTGGACCCGGTGGCTTAAACTCACGCTGGGCATGTGTGCATGCATGCCCAAGATCCCAAGAGGAGAATGGAGGAGAAGGGATTGCTGCATGGCCATCCCTCCTGGGGGGTGATTTCTTGCTTTTTATCTCTCTGTCTCTCTCTGTTTTTCTGGCAAGTGCACGTGCCCTGTAGCAAATACCTCTTCAGGGGAAAAAAAAAACATGCCTGGTGCATGCATGCCTGCCCAAAATCCAGAAAGGAAAAAGAGATGAAGAAGAAGGGATTGCAGAGTAGAGTGTTTTCTCACTTTCTCTCTCTGTCTCTCTCTCTCTAATAAGTACCCCCGAATTTTTTTTAAAAATAAACAAGGAGGACCAGCAAGTGGTGTGGTGGTTCAAGACACTGGATTCCCACATGGTCGACCATGGTTCAAGTCCCAGACCTGGTGACTTGCTTTCTCACTTTCCCTTTCTCTCTCTCTCTCTCTTGTCAAATTAAAAAATAATAACAAATGGAATTAAACAAATACATATTTTTTTGAAAAGTTAAACAAGGTCCATTTGTACTTGGTTTGCTATGTCTCTTTCATTTCTGTTTTTCTTTTCTTCTTGCTTTATGCTAGAGAGTTGCATGTGCATGCACTTACAGGACAGAGAAAGAGAAAACACCACACACACACACACACACACACACACACAGGGCTGGTTATACCACAATCCTCTTTCTTCCAACTCTCCATACCATGAGGATCCTGGGCACACATACACATGAATGTTTTTCAAGATATTGGGTCAGGGGCTCAAGCCCTGTTTAGCTAGGTGGGTGGGATATAGTCTCTTCTATACATTGACCTTTGTGTTATAGGACTAGCCCTGTCATGTCTCTGAGGTTTCTCTTAAATCACTTTTTTTTTTTTTTTTTTTTTGAGAGGTTTTTGCTACAGGGCGAATGCACTCACCAGAGAGATAGAGAGGCAGAAAGCGAGAAATCACTCCTCCTTGTGGGACGGCCACACTGCAATCCCTTCTCCTCCATTCTCCTCTCAGGATCTTGGGCACACACACACACACACGCGCCTGGCGTGAGTTTAAGCCACCGGGTCCGGGACACGAACCGTAGTCGACTATATGGGAGTTCAGCAACATAGCCATTAAGCTAACTACTGGTCCCTTAAATCACTTTTAATCTATATGTTTAATTTTTTTTAAGTTTTTCTATTTCTCACATAAGTGAGAAACAGAAAGAGAGACAGATAGACACCTATGAAAGGGTTTTCATTCTTAAATATACCCCCAGTCTCAGCTGGCCCTGAGCTCAGACATGCATACATATGCCCCCCTTAGATCCCCAAGGAGGTCTTGGGATTCCAACCCAGAACATTTCCCCTATGGATCAGTTGTGCTACCATTGTGCCACCATCTGGCCCTGCTCCTGTTTTATTAATAGCCACTACAGGTTAAGTACTAAATTAGTGCCCTAAGATGAATATGGCAGCCCCGCCCTTCAAGAGTTTACAGTCATATAAGTAATTGTCTATAATCATGATCTCTTACATAACACATCACACTCACCAAACTGTCACAGACATTATCTCAGGTGGGAGATAGTGTCACTCTCAACTTACAACCACAGAGCCTAACATCCTATGACTCTACCATTTACCATGGGGAGAGCCTTGGGAGAATCACTTAAGAGTTCTGTAATTTTCAGCTCTAAGTGTTGTTTATCACTAATATTAGCATGTAGATTGTTATTAATTACTACTAAATAGGCCTGTTAAAAATAGAACACTTGCCTATTTCATCATCACATCTGCTCCCAGGCATGCTTAAACCATCAACATGCATTAGATGACTTATTACGTACAACCTCAAGAGATGGGTGCTATTATTATTCCTGTTTACAGAGGAGGAAACTGAAATTAGGAAGGAGAAAGACTTGCTCATGAGATTCACAGTCACAGAGCAGACTAAAACCCAAGTCCATCTGACTCTCAAGTCTGGGTTTATAGCTATTCCACTGTATCCACAAGGCCCTATACAGGGTCCACCACCCACAAGGTGCTCAGTGAGTTTGTGTAATACAGTTTCCACTTCTTTCTTTTTTCCTCAGAGTTCACTTTCCCATGGCTGGCTTCTACTATTGGCCTAACACAGGTCTCCGCTTTATGGTAAAAGGGGCAGTGACCATTGAGATTACATTCTGTGCCTGGAACCAATTCCTGGAGACTGTCCCACAACACAGCTGGATGGTTGCAGGGCCTCTGTTTGACATCAAGGCTGAGCCTGGAGCCGTGGCAGCTGTGTACCTCCCTCACTTTGTGGCCCTCCAAGGTAAGTGCAAGGGAAGGTAGGAGGGAAAGCGGTTGTTGGTAGTAATTATGAACCCCAAAAGGAGTGTATGATAAGGGTATACTGGGGGAGGCACTCATGGCTTCTTTTAATTTTTTATATGATAGTATATACACATGCATGAGAGAGAGAGAGAAGAACCCTTAACAAGGTGTTGTCACACAGCAATCCCCTTCCCCCAGTCCTTCAGCTCTTCAGGATCCTGGGTACTCACATGCACACACAGCATATTTTCAAGCCAACTCAGGGATCCAAACCTGCAGTAACAATATGGCTTCTAATCTTGCAAGGCACTTGCATTACCACTGTGCCACAGCAGCCAGGCCTCAGTTGAGATTTTCTGAGAGACTCTTCAAAGACCAAACTATTTACAAGGAAGAGTAAGTGAATGTGAATGTTGGGGTAACTCAGGACTGGTAGCCAGTAATGGGAAGTAATAATGAGAAGCCATCACTATTCCTACATGCAAGGAGAAGAAATAGCATGGCAGACAGGTTCTATTTGAGAGCTGGAGCCATAATAGAAGGGCTTCCCAATAGAAGATAATAATCATTAAATCTCCCAATATGAAGATATGGCAAAAGCGGACCAGGCCCATTATGAAAGAGAAATGAAAACTTCTATCCCTCCTAAAGGGGAAACAAAAAGAAGTTTAAGGATCCCAATGCATCCAAGAGGCCTCCTTCAGCTCTCTTCTTGCTCTGTTCTGAATATCAACCAAAAATCAAAGGAGAACATCCTGGCCTATCCATTGGTGATATTGCAAAGAAACTGGGAGGGATGTGGAATAACACTGCTGCAGGTGATAAACAGCCTTATGAAAAGGCTGCTAAGCTGAAGGAAAAATACGAAAAGGGTATTGCTGCATATCGAGCTAAAGGAAAGCATGATACAACCGAAAAGGGAGTTGTCAAGGTTGAAAAGAGCAAGAAAGAGGAGGAGGAGGAAAATGAGGAAGATAAAGAGGATAAAGATGAAGAAGATAATGATGAATAAGTTGGTTCTGGGGAACCAGCAGTTAGCATAATGGCTGTGTCGCTGGACTCCTATGTAGTCGACCACGGTTCACGTCCCGGACCCGGTGACTTAGAACTCACACCGGGCACGTGTGCGTGCATGCCCAAGATCCCGAGAGGAGAATGGAGGAGAAGGGATTGCGCCGTGATCATCCCCTCTGGGGGGTGATTTCTCGCTTTCTGTCTCTCTGTCTTTGTCTGTCTGGCAAGCGCACGCACCCTATAGCAAAAACCTCTCCTAAATAAATAAATAAATAAATAAATAAGTTGGTTCTAGTGCAGTTTTTTTCCCCTCATCTAGAAGGCATTTAACCTTCCTGTAAATAACTCACTCCTTTTAATGAAAAAAAAAATTGAAATGTAAACTGTACAGTATCTTTTTTTTTATAGTTAACACACTACCAAGTGTGTTTTTAGAAAGCCTTGTCCTGGTGGTATTTTCAATAGCACTAACCTTCCTGGTACAGTATGGGGGGTTGTAACTGGCATGGAAATTTAGAGCAGGTTCTTGTTGGTGCACAGTACAAATTAGTTAAATATGGAGATGGTCTCTTTTTTTCATCTTCAATTGTCTCTTATGCAGCTTACATGAAATAAATGTTCTTTTGTTAACTGAATACCACTCTGTAATTAAAAAAGAAAGTTGAAGCTGTTTTGTTACTATTATGAATGCTTCTAAGTAAAATTTTTTTTAAAATCACAAAAAGTAAACAAGGTACCATAAGTGAGAAGCAGCAGAAACTACAGGGACCAGAAATGGTCTCTTAAATATTTCAGACATTAGGATGATCAAAATAGAACACAGAATAAAAATAAGTGTGTGTAATAGATTTTTTAAAAATAATTAGTCTTTAAATTTGAGCAAGAAGCAAAAAACAAGCAATGGGAGGTGGCACAGCAGTAGCACAATGCTCTGTGAGGCTGACCCACATGGGAAGTTTTCAGGTTCATATGCAGAGACCTCCTTGAACACGCTGGGTATGCATATGCTTATGATCTGGGGCTGGCTGTGGCTGGCTGAGGCTGGCTGAGAACATGGAGACTCTCTTGGGGCTACCAGTCTCTCTGTCTTGTCTCTCTTCCTGTCAGGGAAGAAAAAAACTTTTAAAAAAGAAGAAGAAGAAGCAATAAACCATGAACGATGACAAAATTTGGAAACAGGGACCAGCAATTGGTGCAATGGCTATGTCGCTGGGCTCCTATGTAGTCAGCCATGGTTCGAGTACTGGACCTGGTGGCTGCCCTCAGGCCCCTCGTGATTTAGGCGTGGCTATTTCTGCTGGGGAGTGATTTCTCACTTTCACTCTGTCTGTTTCTTTCTCCAGTGAGTACATGCACCCTGTAGTTAAAAAAAGTCTTTAAAAAATCTCACATAGCAAGCATTATTATTGTTGCTTTATCCATCCAGTGTTTTGTTAGCCTAAATCCCTTCCCCTTTGTTCTCTAGGAATTTGAGGCACACCATACACACACACATTTGGCATGATTTTCAAGCTGCTGGGTCTGAGACTTGAACCACAGTCAGTCATGTAAGAATCCAGTACCTTAACCACTGCTGATCCACAATATGTGGGGATTTTAATAAGAAAAGAAGAACTAAAAAACCACCAATAATAATGGCTAATAAGAGTGTTAAAGGATTCACAGTCATTGTAGCACTGGCTGATTGATGCTGCTACTCCAAGAGGCTGAGGTCACATGGGAGGCCCAAGTTTAGTTTCCAGACAACCGTAACAGCTGGGTATGGGGGCATGGACCCATATTCTCAGCTACCTGAGAGGTTGAGGTAGGAGGATTACAACATACCCAGAGTCCGTCTTAAAAAAAAAAAAAAAAAAAAAAAAGAAAGAAAGAAAGAAAGAAAGAAAAGAAAAGAAAAGAAAAGAAAAGAAAAGAAAAGAAAAGATTCTAAAGTGTTTGTATATAAGGGATCTTCAAAAAGCTCATGGAAAGTGTGTATTATGAAAAGACTACGTGTGAGTTTTAAAATTTTTTTGCACCAAGCTTCCTCAGCGCTGTCTGTGGAAGTGGCATCCATCTCCTACCCAGCATCATGGCTGCCCTCAGGCCCTCGTGAATCCCAAGATTGTCAAAAAGAGGGCCAAGAAGTTCATCCGGCACCAGTCAGACCGATATGTCAAAATTAAATGCAACGGGCAAAAACCCAGAGGTATTGACAACAGGGTGCAAAGGAAATTCAAGGGCCAGATCTTTATGCCCAACATCAGTTATGGGAGCAGCAAGAAAACGAAGCACATACTGCCCGGCAACTTCCGGAAATTCCTGGTCCTCAAAGTCAAGGAGCTGGAAGTGCTGCTGATGTGCAGTAAGTCTTACTGTGCTGAGATCGCCCACAATGTTTCCTCCAAGAACCACAAGGCCATCATGGAAAGAGCAGCCCAGCTGGCCCTCAGTCACCAATCCCAATGCCAGACTGCGCAGTGAAGAAAACGAGTAGATAGCTCGTGTGCACGTTTTGTTTCTAAATAAAACCACAAACCCCCCCCCCCAAAATTTTTTTGCACCAAAAATACATTTTTTTACACCAAAATCAACTTTTGCTTAAATTCCTTTTCCATAAACTTTTTAAAGTGTCCTTATAGTTCAGAAAGGGAGTAAAGTCAAGGCTGAAATTCACACAGATGTATCTGTATTACTGTCCAGGCGGAAATATTGAAATTCGGGGTGGCTCCATGGCTCAGACAACAGGTTGGGTCAAGTAGTTGTTTTTCCCCACCTGACAATCATGCGATATCATTACAGGGTAATGACATACCCACTACAACACCTGTGCTTCCTCTTTCACAACTAAGACCTGGGCCCAGGGCATCTCCAGATGTTCTTTCAGGGAGACAGGGGATTGGCCAAAGGAGACAATAGGATCAGCCCTGATGTAGCTCTGCCTGGGCCCAGCAATGAGAGAACTTGGTCTGCCTTGACCCAGGATGCTCAGGCTGCACCAGCATGTCCCACTCTCAGCTGAGTATCCTAAGGAAAACCTCATGCAGCTAAAGAAGTCTGCCTTTAGCTCTCAATCTCAGCCCCCTTGTCCTACCTCATTCCCTGAAGTGGGCAAGCCAGCCACTCACCATTCATAAGCACCCTAGTCAGTCTCATACATCCAGCATGTGGGACTGGGAAACAGGATATTTCAAAGGGATTGGTGACCCTCCACACATACAGGAATCCAGCAGAAGCCTGCCAGGCTGAAGGCCAGATGTGGACAGGGGTGAATCCACCAAGTTGGCAGCATTGTTATTTAAGGGCTCCTAGGACATCACTAATAAGGACTGACCAATTACTGAGCATTCTGTGCCAGGTACCATGCTAGGAAGTCCCCCATATATTTATATCATCTCAATTTTCATAACGACCTACTAAGTTAGATACTATGGTTTTCCCCAGTGCATCAATAAGAAAATGGAAATTCATAAGGAAGAAGACTCTTATCCAGAGTTGGGATGATTCTAACCCAGGCCATATTCATCCCAGAGTAAGAACTTTACTCCATCCCATGTCCAAGTCTTTGTCCCACTAGTCTTCCCAAGAACACATCTGGACCTCACCCTGTGGCCATGCAGGACTTACTCTCTTTGAAATCTGTACATAGAGCAAGAGGTGAAATGCACAAAAGCTTCTTTCAGCTGGCCGGACTCATGCCCAGTTAGAGAACCACACCCTGGGGCCAGGCAGGGCCCCTCTCAGGAATCCGTGCTGCCTGCTACCTGAGCTGCAGTTGTTTGTTGTCCTGGAAATGATGCCCTCACTGCTTAGCATAGGCCTGATTTAGAACTTGGATGCTGACTGCTTCTTCACTGTCATTGGTTGTGTCCTGTGTCAGATTACCAACTTTTTACAATGAGTTCAACTGCTACAGCTTGGAGCTTTTAGCATGTCAGCTTTGCCTCAGGACCTTGCAGACCTCACCACCCACCCCATCCACCCTGCATTCTCACTCTCTTGCAGGACCAGCTCTGTCAGTTGTGGAGTCCAGGCAAAATGAAAACAGTGGGCCCCTTCTTCAAAAGTGACTAAGAATGTCAAGAAAGAGGGACAGCCCACAGTCTAGTGGTTATGGGAGCCAGATGCCATATGGCCAATAGCAATCCAATCCCAGCCCCAGTGACTGAAAAACACACAAGGTATGTGTGTATACATGTTCTAAATCCAAACAGGATGGATAAATGGAGGAGAAGGGATTGCCCCATTATTATGCCCCATTGGGAGATGCTTTCTCTCTCCTTCCTCTCTCTCCCTCTTTATCTGTCATCTTTATCTCTATCTCCCACTGGTTAGCACACACACCTCCCCTTGTAATTAGGAAAAAAGAATATAAAGACACAACCAGCAGAACATTAGAGCTCAGGGCTCTGTGTGTCTGCACAGGCCACACACCTATGAAGCTGGGCCTATCCTTTTCAGTCCTTCACCACCCACCACTCTTCTCCTTACATACACACAGACCCTGCTCTCCATATGGCCCTCCTCCAGGAAAATTAGTCCCCTTGTTTCTGTTGCAATTGCTTTTCTCTGTGCTGTCCATGGGAATAAAGACACTTCACTCAACCCTGTAGGGTCATTCTCTTTTCCCACCCCACCCACCCCAGGAGCTCACCTGGATTAGACTACTGAAAACCATAATGATACCCCCTTGTGTCCCCAAACTACTGGTTCTCTGGAGCCAACATCATCTGAGTTGTACAAGAGAGAACCTGAAACTTCAGTTTCAGCTGAATGCATATGCAAAAGATCTTAGTATCTTTTTCTTCCCAGACCCTGAAAGTTACCAGGAGGACTGGGCCAAGTTCTTTGTGGAAGAAACAGAAAAAACTACAATAGTTAGGTGATGGTATACAAGAAGACTTAAAAACTTTTGTGAAAAAAACTTGAATTAAATTATAAGTTTATTTTGTGCAAAAACATTTTTAAATCCCTGCATAATATGCATTTTCCCATAATTGAGAACTTCTCATGCTTGGTCAAGCTGCATTTTATCCATAATAGCAGGTGGTCTTTTCTAAGCCAAGTGCCTTGCAGACAGACACATCCAACACGGTTGCATCACTTCTGCTGGGAGTGAAATTCAAGAGTCTGTTATCTTTTAACCACTCTGCACAGACAGCCATCTGGTATTCCACCTTTACTTGATGTGGGTTCCATTGTCCCTCCTTGAGCATGAAAGTTGGTTTGCCCCTCAACAGCTCACCTGAGCTTGGAAGGTGCTAAAAATACACTTTGCATCAGGGGCAGGGTAGCATCAAGCCACAGGAACAAGGGCAGGGTCTAAAGGAGAACCCCCAGCCTCCTGCATAGTGGGAGCTGCAGAGGCTGAAGCAAATATTGGGCATGCAGTGGAAAAAGAGGAAGAAGTCTCAGGCTGCCCTGGACAGAACATTTAGGATGCTTTAAGCCATTGTTCTATTCACTGTCAGCTTTCCATGTGGGCCATGAGCTCTGGAATTGCAGTGCTCATATAGTCCCTGTTCCCAGATACATCACAGGGTCTGGCCCACTGTAAGTGCTTAATAAATTTTCCATTCTCTTGAGATTTTGGGCACACACACATGTGTCCAGTGTGAGTTGCAAGCCACCAGGTCTGGGACTCGAACCTTGTGGGAGTCAAAGCTTTGTATGCCTGTTTTATCAAGGTTTATGTCTAGAAATAGTTCATCTAAAATAGATGCTTAATAAATACCTGTCGGGAAAAAAAAATGCCTTAACAATCTACTGGCCCCAGATTGTTCTGAATATTTCTAATGAGACTACCTAAAGGCAGGTCCAAGCAGAAGGTCCTAATCTTCCTACAATGATACACATCAAGTCACCACCTACACTTCTGCCTTTTCAGACAATAATTTTCCCTGTTGTTTCCCTTCTCCCTCCAATCTGTTGGCACAAATACATTGTCAGTTGGCAGATTTGGAGGTGATTCTGCTGTCATCTGTGGAAAGGACATGAGTGAAAAGGAGGGTGACTAATTCATCCTGGATGGCCCAGGATTTTCCTGATCCTGCACCTCACAAACCCTCTCAGTCCTGGGCAAGACAGGACAGTTGGCAACCCTAGTGAAAAGATAAGTTGGAGTCACACAGAAACTTCCATAACTCAGTCAAAATTTGGCACAGAAGACATGTAAGTGCTGCAGACTGTGATCAGAGTGCTGGGATCTGGTGCTAGGACTGTGGCTGTGTGGCCTTGGGAAAAGCATTTCCCTCCCGGAGTTTCAGTTCCCTCATCTGATACGTGAGAACATTCCAGAGTTGTGGAGGTTCAGTTGGGACCAACCATTTAGAGTGCTGACAGCAGCACAAAGTGGCACCACGCAACTGTGGGTGGGGAAAATGCATATCTTTTCACAAACTTTTTTTGTTCCTTGCTGTTTATTGATTCCAAGGCAATAACCCAAGGGAAACAGAAGAGCTCTATGCAGAAATATGTGCATTGCAGTATCATTTATCATGGCGAATAGTTGGAAACAACCTCAACACTGAAATGAGGGATGGTAGTACATCCACTAGCAAAGATCATGTGTTGCAGTCATTAGAAAGTCCAACAGATGTTTCTGGGAATTTAATGTGGAAAAAACAGGCAACGTTCTGAGAACTGTGATGGAAACATACAAATGTGTTGCTGTAGAGAGAAACTGTAATGGAAAAGGGCATGAAGGTAATAATAGTTGCATTGTTTGGTGATGTAAAAGGTAAATTCATCCTCATTTTTTCAGATGATATATACCACTCTGTTATTTTTCACCCCAAAATGCAATGAATAAATGAAAAAACACAAGTACCAGTCTCCATGGCCCCTCTGGGATTACCATCACTCGGTGACATAGCAATTGATGCCAACTCAGACTAAGAGTTTTGTCCAGCTTGATGGACATCCCTCTGCTTCCTAGGAGGCAGAAGCATCGCAGCAGTTGCCAGGCAGTGCAGGAGCAGCCATAGCTCCTGGTCTGTAGGCCATAATTTCTTCTACCACTAGCCTTCATCCCTCAAGATTTCTCTTATGGCTTCAGTATCCATCCCTGGTGCACTGGTCAGAGGCCACAATCAAAGAAACTAATTCTAGTTGATTTAGGTGGAAAAGGAATGTATTGGGATATTTTTGAGAAGCTCATAACCTTAACAAAAAGTTGAGCAACAAATATAAGGGAGAAAGAATAGCAGCAAATAAATGATGCTGGGAAACCAAGGATACAGCCAAGGTCACATACAGAAAAATGCAGAGACATCTCTGCCACAAACATAGCCACTATGAGACTGCACTGCCATGAGAATCCCTGGACTCTTGACTCCACCGCTACTGCCAAAATAATGTCATCTGTGCTTTACCCCCTCTAGATGTGAGGTCCTGGTTAAGAGTATCTATTTAGCCAAGTCTTAGTCACATGCCTGCATCATGGCTGTCAGAGAGACTCTACTTTCTGAGTAGGAGGCTCAGCTTGCCTCCTGCCAAGACCCATACAGTGGTGGAGGAGATGGTTCAGTAGGTAGCAGAGCCATAACAAATGTAGCCTCCTTTTGTGGTTACCCTATTTCCCCACCACCCTCTCCCACTTCATGTTCTACACCTGCCTAGAATCAAACCTGCCAGTACCACTTAACAACCCCTCATAGTTACAGAATCCACCCAACACAGTCAGCCATAGAGTCAATGTCCTCTAGACTCCAGATTCAGGGGCTGAGCATGTGTGCAAATTTGGCTTACAGGAGTTCCTCCAGTGCTCTCACCTCAGAGGCAGTATTATCCACAGCTCTGAAAGGCACCAGGCCTAGGCATGCCCCTTTTCTCATGCTGGGTATTTTAGACCATTCAGGCTGCTATAACAAAATTCCATGAACTACATACCTTATACATAACAGAAATTTATTTCACACAGTGCTGGAGGCTGGAAAGTCCCAGATCAAGGTGCCAGTCGATTTGGCATCTAGTCAGGGCCTACTTCCTCATAGATAGTGCCTCTACTGTGTTCTCATAGGGTGGAGGGGCAAACAAGCTTTCTTGGGTATCTTTTTAAAGGTACTAATCTCATTTATGAAGACTCTACCCTCATGATTTAATCATCTCCCAAAAGGCTCCACTTACTAATACCATCACTTTGGGGGTTAGGATTTCCATATATGAATTTGCAGTCCAGCCTTGGTGGTATAGGAGGTGCATACTGAGCTACAGTTCTGGAAACTACATGGCCAACTGTGGGTGGGGATCCCAAATCAACCTGAAACACACTGGATACATGTGCAAAGATCCTAACTTACTGGAGAGCCATGGGAAGGGAATCACAGCATGACGAGACCCTATCAAGGGTCTCTGTCTCCCTATTTCTTTCTCTCTCTCTCTCTCTCTCACATGTATGTGAGTGCAATATCTCATGAAAGAAAGAAACTATGAGTTGGGGGGTGGGGAGGACCCAAACATTCAGACCATAGTGCAGTGTTCCCTAAGGAAGTTTTCTTGAGCCTGAACTCCAGAAACCTACTACCCAGTCACGTTTAAGTGAGGGCACTAATCCATGCCTCTCAAATCCATTCTTTGACAGGAGAGCAGGTGAACAGCTCCCTGCTCCAAGTGGCCCACTTTAAAGAGGAGGGGATGCTCCTGGAGAAGCCATCAAGAGTGGAACCATATTACACAGTCCTGGAAAATCCCAGCTTCTCCCCCATGGGAGTTCTACTGAGAATGATCCACATTGCCCTGCCCTTTATTCCCATCACCTCTACCGTGTTGGTCTACTATCGCCTCAATGCTGAGGAAGTCATCTTCCACCTCTACCTGATCCCCAGTGACTGCTCCATTCAGAAGGTGAAACTAAGAGTCAGAAAGTCTGGGCCAGGGTGAGCTTATGGTAAACATGAAATGTAGCTAGAGTCCCTTAGAGGAGTCCTCAATAGGAATAAGAATGGGTCTCTTATAAGCAGGCACCTTAAAGTGGGTGAATGATCCTGCCCTGTGCTTGGCCATAGATTGGTCTCCTGACTCTCCAGAGTATATCCCTCAGCAGAATTCACTGCTCCATCACTGATATCTGGCCACATTTTGCAGTCTCTCTCCTGAAGTCAAAAGATAGGAAAGTTCATACCCCAAACTCCATTCTTCCCTCTTCTCTTCCAGCGGCCCACTTCCCACTCTGAACTTAGCAGAGGCCAAGTGTGGAGCTCTCTGCATAGTCGTGCATGGAGGAAGATGGGTGCAGGAGTGGTGTAGCCACCCTCTGCCCACACAAACACATTGACACACCATCTCATGTATGCAGATCAGATCCCATAAGGCAGAAACCTCCCTCAGTCATTGTTCTTTATGTTCCTTAGGCCATAGATGATGAAGAAAAGAAGTTCCAGTTTGTGCAAATCCGCAAGCCACCCCCGCTGACCCCACTTTATGTGGGCTCCCGCTACACCGTGTCTAGTTCAATGCAGCTGGAAATCATCCCAGAGGTGAGCAACCCAGATGTTCTCCCCCTCACCAGGCTCAGAAGGCATACCAGAAATACCTACAGGGAAGATTTCAGGGCCTTTCCAGGGGCAGGGAGAATTGGAGTTTGGCAGAAAGTATGTGGGATTTAGAGTTAAATAGAAACCCCCAG